TGCTTATATACTGTTTATTGTTACAGGAGAATATGAACATTGTCTCGGAGGACAGATTTCTCTGCTGGTGAAAGGTAAAAAGTTCTGAGGTGCTTAGCGATTTCTGATGTGTTCATTTATCTGCTCTTTGGAGTGACTTTCCGACTGTTTTTCTTATTATCTCTAACGTGGACATTATCTAAAAATAGGATATGTTAGGTGTTTTAATTTTGGTTTTAGTGTTGAGGAGATACAGCTCTACAAACAAGAGAGTTGGTAACTGAACGGTGATGTGACAGTTATTTAAGGCTTAACGTCTAAACTGAATGACCAAATGTTAGTTTGATTTTCTGTTAATAAGAACATCTAAAAAGGGGAGGTTATTATTAATTTCTCATTCAATTGCAAAACGTATGTTAGGGTGTACAGAGAAATTGTTAAAAAAAATCTCGGATTCTTTCTTGCGATTGCTTGTCATAATAGAGAATCCAAAGTTGTTGCTGATCTGCCATAAATTTGACCGTTACAAGAAAAATATGTTCTAGACAAGCATTTTTCAATTAAGATTCGATTCAATATTTTTGATATCTTTAATATTTTAATATATCTGAAATAATGTAGAAAGTTTCAGGAATGGCCACTATACGTCCATACTAACAAAAACTTTCGATATTTTTTAAACCTTTTTTTGAAAAATCACCCCTTAAACAGTAGCGCTTTTTTCTTTTTTCAGGCCTTAAATTGTCAATCAAAAAATAGGAGCTATTTCTAATATATTCTAATTCTAATAAACAATAAGTAATCAAACACATACCTCTTTTCATTTTGTTTAACTACAGAAAACAATTTGAAATTTTGCTCATCGAGTAACCCAAGAAGTCCTTGCTCGGTTTCAGGGTAAATTATTGGGAAAGCAATTCAACATATAACTCTTCGCCTAGACCTAGTACTCGTTTAAAATAAAATGTGGCATATGTGTGCTAAACAGTAGAGTTGATAAAATCATTTTGCCTCGACATTAGTAGTCTGAGCTACTAACCAAATGTATCTTTTTTTTGCTAGAACAATTGAAAAACTTATAATTTAACCGAATTAATAATTAATTTTCAATTTATGCAATTTAATGAAGGCATTTCTGGGAGGTTAGAAGGCTATAAGATTTTGAAATTTAAAAATAATTAAAACATTACATTAAATTAGGTGTCAACACAAAAATGAATGGATCAGATTTGTATTTGTCTGCTGATTCCATCTTTCTTTGTTCGATTGTTTTTATTTATTTATTTATTTTTTGGTAAATCTGAGAGGTCCTGATGTCGTAGGTGGGGCGCTAGTGGTGGGGTGTCGGGGTTGTTTAATTTTAATTAATTTATTTATTTCAGATTTTTCAAAAATATGTACCACAGCCCCAAAAATCTTATATTCCTATAAAAGACAGTTTGATCGCATCAGAAATTCATGTTTTTTCATTCCGACCCTTCAGAAATACTTTGTGTCGTGTGCACAATATTCAGATTAAATTGTCAAGTTACAAAGCCACGGGGAAAAACAGAACAAAAAATTGATACCCGTCTACCAAACGATAATCGCGTAATCTCCCGATAAACCATCGGAAAATACGTCGGCGTATACCTTAACCCGGCAAGAACGAAAATTCTCGCATCATTCCCCTCATTGTTGACATAATATATGGCATACAAAATACCTAAACACGCATTTTTCTTCCCTTTTGTACACGTCGGCGCATCCGACGTCGGTTCTATCTTTAAAATTTGTTGACATTGTTGCGCCCCGATACTTTGCATACTTCCTACAAACGGGAAAAGCTGCCAGGAAATTTTCCCGTCGCTTCGACGCGAAATTTCCGCGTAAATTTACCGTAGCTTCATTACGTAGGCAGCGAGATAGCCTCCGTACTACTAAAATTTCATATTAAAATGCTTCTGATGACGTTTTATTCTAAAAACATTGGGTTGTTTCAATTAAGTAGGTACACGATCCACTACAAGGAAAGAAGTATCGCGTTTGGAGCATTTTGGTATAATAATATTTACTAAAAAATGATATTAGTAAAATAATATTTTTCTTTCATTTCCATCTCCGATTTTTCTGGAACATCTCCAGAGCTTCTCGGAAGTTTAAGAGTTTCTAAACGCCATATTGTTAAGAATCGATATTAGGTTTAGAAGGTCGAGCTTGCCTATTAATCAAAATTTACTCCGATTTGCTAGACCACTTTCTTAAGATCCTCTCCTGAAAGTAATGGTAATTCTGTCAGCCTCTATTCTTCTACTATTAGTTTATATTATTTTGTAATTGGATATGTTTAATGTGTTAAAAGCTCGGACTTTTCGAGTCATATATATTTTATGAAAAAAATCCAATCCCCGTTAAGAAGTGCGTATATAGCCAGAAAAAGATTGTCATATATGTTATGTACTTAATGAAACTTACGTTAAATATGAAATATTCATTTATACTGTTAAATTAGGCTGTTTCGCACAATATACAGGGAGAATGAAAAAACAACAATAACTTTATATTTCAGTCCACTCGTTTCTGGCAAATCGTCAAAAATAGTTTTTCTTTTACTGCAACAACAATAATTATTTACAAATTAAATCAGAACAAAAACACTAAGAATAACAGAACACACTAAAGTAAAAAATTCTTTAACTATTCTAAATACTGCTGTATGTGACCATCATTTTCCGAACACATTTCTCATACACTCTAATTGTATGAATGTCTTGCATTTAGTAACGTTTCCGGATTGTCTCTTAACTGATTGATCGCCTCTGAAATCTTTTGCCGAAGTTCCACTACATTTTTAATGTCCCCAAAAGAAAGAAATTCTTAATGATAAGTCGGGCTGTTGACTGCGACGTTCCGTATACAGCCCCTAAGTTATTCCATATTAAGAAAGAGGCACCGTCTTGCTGGCATATAATCAGCGCTGATATATTTAGGGGTGAATTTTTTATATATTGTTCTATTTGGTGCTCTAAGAGTTGCAAATAATGATCTCCGGTTAACTTTTGACCTACAAATATCGGACCTAAAATATGCCCATGTATAATACCATACCATTATTAATTATTTGGTACCCCTGGGTTTTTATTTTGTGTATTTGTCTAGGATTATTTAAAGCGTATTTTATCTATTACGACCCTTTCTTGTAGTGAACGAGCTTTCATCAGTCCATAAAGTGTTTTTCAAAAAATTATCATTCTCATTATCTCTATTTAAAAAATTTTGAGTTTTATAAAATGTAATTGCATTATATTTGTATTCTTTCAAAACTGAGTGGATTGTTCCCGAGAAATACCTGTCTCTTTAAAACACTACGATTCCGACATACCTTTTTGGCTTTACCATTTTCTGCAAATTTCTTTGCAAGTCTTGGAAATAACTATTTTGTAGCAGCTCGGTGCCCGTTGTAATGTCTAATACACTGACGACGAGATGCGGTTGCACTTTTATAATTCAGAACGTATACTTCAAGCATATCACTCCTTCCTAGGATGTTAAATTCGCGAAAAACCATTTTAATAACAATGACTTGGACAATAATTCAACCATCAACGTTGTTTATTGATTTTGTTTGTTAGTCATTGCACTCTTTGAAATTATTTTTGCCGATTTGTGAAAAAGAGTAGACTAAAATATAAAGTGTGTTATATCATTGTAATCGGAATAAGATATTGTATTAACCACTTATATAATATACAGGGTGCTTCATTGAAAAAAATATGATGTTGGCTTGTATGTCAGAAAATCGATAGTGTTTTGTTTTATACGTCACTTGGAAAAAACTTGGCTACTAACGCTACATTTTGTTTTTTTCTTTGCCTTGATATTTCTAAAAACAAAAAAGTTACAGCCAATTGACATTAATTACTAAATGAATAGTTAAAAATTAACCGCTAGTAAATAATACATTTTTGATTTCAATTTGCAATAACCAACAAATGTTAGGTATTAGGTGTTTTTTCCCAGTGCAGAACAAAGGCAGCTTATAGTATTCATAAAAATCATTTTACCCATAAAAAGGCCTTTGCTGTTGTTTTGCTAGCTACCAACTAGGGAAGTGGGGATAACAATAATATTAAAAATAATAATAATAGTTTTTTCGCAAATAAGCACATTCAAAAAAAGCATTAAATAAATAGACAGACATAAATTATAAATAAACCGGGGAAAAGCTCAGGAAATATTAGCAAAAGAATATTTATTTGTGAGCTGAACAATATACATAAATCAAAAAATACAAATTGAGGAATTTTAAGTTTTAAGTGTGTGGTGCATAATAGACTTGCAAAAACAAACCATATGGATCTTAACTAAAAACATAATGAATTGTAATAATAAAATAACCCATTCTTTTATTTTCTTTTTATGTTATTGTAGGGTTTATAATACCTACACCTATTACATACATAGATATTTGTGTTGCATCTTGAAATATTTAAGTTTGTATTTGTATTTTTCTATGGTATACTTTGTTGTTTTTTTTATTAAATTTACATGGAATTTGGGCATAATGGTGAATTCATTTTTGTTCATTTCGGCTTGTAAATACTCATGCAACAAATTGCATCGACTACAAAAAGTAGCAGCCGCAGTTTTAAATTGCAACAACTTGTTACGTGAAAATTGGGTAACTTCAAACCTGCACACCGCATCGCGTACCAAACTGTGACGGGGAAGAAATGGTCATTGATGGATTTGTAATACCTAGATACGTCAATTCGGTTTGTTTACAAATCTATTGAATCGAGTCTATTGAAGTGGGCTTCATCGCTCACTATCTGTCACTTTTCGGTTATTTTGGCGAAGATGCAATTTTTTGTTGGGCACATTAATACATAATTTTTAATTGATTTTTAGAGAAGTTTACGTACGTACAAATTTTAGCTTGAACGAGTATTATTTCTTTAGCGTCGTTCATTTCATATAAATGATTTTGATCAATGGCATGCCACAATCTGCAGCAAATTCACTTAATTTTCTTTTTGCCGATGATTATAAATTATTTCGAAGAATTCGACTGCGACTTGCTGCAAAAGGAATTAAATGAAGTAATCAAATGGTCAGAAATAAGTAAACTAAGTTGCAATATCAGTAAATGTTCAAGTCCTATCATGTATCAATATAAAATAAAAGATATTATAATAGAACGAAAAACAGAAATGAGGGATCTTGGTGTACTTTTTGATTCCGGATTAAAATTTAATAAACATATAGACAGCATAACAAAAAAAGGTTACAAAATGTTAGGCTTTGAGGTTCGAAATTGCTCCGGTTTTCAAAATAAAATACAAAAATATTCTCGAATATTGTTCGATTATCGGGATAACAGGATTCTTTATACAAAGATGAATTAGAAAAGATTCAGAAGAAACTTTTAAGGTACCTTTATTATAAGAAGTATGGTATGATGTACTCTACGTAGTTTTGACTGAGGAGTTCGGTGTTCGCACACTTGAAAAAAGAATGAAAATTGCTGAAGCAATATTTTGGTATAAACTGGTTTAGGGCAGAATAGATTGCTCTTTTCTAATTAGTGAATTAAGATTTATTGTGCCTACATATTTAACAAGGAATACTATCACTTTTGAACTTCCTAGAGCTTACACTAATCTAGAACAAAATAATTGACTGCGTGATGTGGTCATTTTTCATATTGGTTTCTGCAACTTTCGAACTATAATTTTGAACAAACTTTAATATCGCTGTATCTGCTCATATTTCTTTTTTCTTTACTGTTGTTTGCCAATTTACTGTTATACCATAACTTATAGTCTAATTAACTATTAAAAAGTAGCATGTTCATTTATTAGTTTAGTGCTAACTGTTAATTGATTGTATTCTGTTATTGGGCGGTAGCCTGTTGATTGCTTTAGTTTAATAAATAAATAAATATGTCGTAGATCGGTATTAAACATGTTATTTTGCATTTAATGGAATTTAATTAATTAATAACAATACATTTGGGATTAACTTTTCGCGCTTGACAATTCCGCAAATTGCTGACGTTCAATTTGATTATTATGAGATAGAAACGCCCCCGAGAATATTCGGTTAATTTAAGAGAGAGCGGCACAGTGGTCTTAACAAATAATCGGGCAACGGAGCTGAAGCATCCTTAACCCAGATCGGCGTTACTGTGGCAACCCCTTAATTAACAACAACACGTGGAGTATTGTATGTAGAGTTGGCAGTAATAAGGATCATAAAGCGGAGAGAGTTTCCGAGTAAACGCAGCTGGTTAGTTAAGCCGAGATGAAAAATCGTTGCCACTTGGACGTAAAACCCATCGTAATTCCATCAAATACGGACCAGTGGTTTTGATACAAAATTGTTCTGCTCCTCCCGTTGCCGTTCTTTGTTGTTGGCGGGCTTGTGAAATTCATCACGCAGTTATGAACATCTTCCAAACGGGATGATCGAGATACGGCTGGTACGGCCACGGTCTTTTGCGATTTATTGGGTTTTATTTTAAAAAAGCAATATTCCAAATTATAATTTTACTACTAAATGCTATTTTAAATTGGTTTTCACGTAGCGGGCATAAAAAGTTTGCTTCCTTGAGCAATTTAGATCCCGCTCATCCGATCTCATTGAGTTCCATAGAAGTCTTAAAATTATCAACCAGGAAATAAAGGGCCACAGATATCTTGGTTATTTCTTTTATTTTTCATAGCAACTTCCACAGATAATACTATTCACAAATCTTTTGAGAAGATTTGTAAATAGTATCCTGGTTATATAAAACCAAATAATATAACCATTAACTTTTTAAAGCTTTATCTGACTGTAGCTTTTTTTTTTAAATTTGGCAGTTCAACATATTAAAAAATATGTATTTCTACTCACTACTTGTAAAATGATCATTATGAACTGATCAGTGTCACTTAAAGGCTAAACTTAAGACGTTTCCGGTACTTTAGTGGCGTGTTTGGGAGCGATCAGATGTTGTCGGTGGTATTCTGACAATTGTCAGCTGTGATATCACATGACACGTCATTAGGTAAACGTATAAGTGCTGTACGACAACATTTTATCCGATGTACAAAACAAAACTTTCTCTTATTGACATTAAATTGTTAGTTAAGGTATAAAATACTTTTATTTTAATCTAACACAGAATACGTTTCGAGACGAATTCATTGGTGACGCGTGACGCAACATTTCATGTCCAGAGGCGTTTTTCTTCATTTTTTGAAATAAATGGAAACTCTCATGGCAAGAGGGTTTTAAATATTTTCTAAATTCTATATATGCCAACCAAAAATGTGAATTTCTTGCTGCCTTATCCAAGCAAAGCAAATTTTTCAGTGAAGAACATTCCACAGTACTGCCACGTTTCGCATTCTGTAAGTATATTCAAATACTTTGAACGGAGGCCCAATACTATTGGTTATAGTTACATTGCGTATTGAAATACAATACGAAAAACGTTTCGGAATCATTGAATCAAGAAGTCTGGTATTTTATGCTTTTAGACGTTTGTTTATTATAACTAGTTAAATAACGAGAAAGTTTGAATTACAAGCAGCTGACAACTTGACATATAATTTGGAGAGGACTACGTTAGAACCCTACTATTATATGCCGTTGAAGTTGTCAATTTAATAATATCACACTTATGTAATATGTGGCAACATTGTACCAAAATTTGTTTAACTAGCATAAGGCAATTACTTTATTTTATTTGGTATGCTTTATTTTCGTTATGACAGTTGTCTTTTGTGTCAAAAAGTAAAGAAAAACAATTATCGTGTGAGAACATACTCTCGTAATTTCCATCAATATATAGAGGTGTTCCATTTAAAATAAGAATTTTACCATTCCAGAAAAGACTACATAACCTGTATATAGATACTATATACTTAAGAAGTTGAAATAAATACAGGAAACTTTGGATTGAAAATCGATTAGTCAGCAACAGGAACTCGTGACTAAAGTTTCGTTTATCAAACTTGCGGTCTAATGTACTATTGTATCATGTAAATGTAAATGTTTTAGTCATTTTTTTGTTTGTATTAATCTGTTTATACGGAATTAATAGCTACGAACTTGGGGTAATTAATCTTAACAGACTTTTGCTTGACACACAATTTTCAGAACCAATCGCTAATGCGATTTTAAGACTTTAAATTCTTTAAATTAACCTAATCCTATCGAATCTTGTGCGCGCAATTTCAGATTCCGGGATAGTGTAATTAGACCGAATCATGGCATTTGGCTTCCCTAAACTTTGCTCGTTAACAGGTTAACTTTTAGATATCGGAACGAAATTGGTCTCAAATTGCCAAATGTTCGAAGCGGTTGATATCGACGAAGAAATGTTTAATTTAAATCGAACGGTAAAGTTAAGTTTCCCTAAGCAGTTAACGATATAGACAATTTGATGACTGTTTCGATAAGTTCTAAAGGACAATTATCCTCAAATCGGCGTAATGACTAAATTTTATGTTGGTACCGATTTGGTCTTCGGCTTTGTTTTGCTCAAAGATAAACTTAAAGTAATTGTCACTTGATAATAATTAGATACTATTTGTGAATGCAAACTTGGTTCGACAGAACATCTATGAGTTGTAAAAATTTCCCGTTACCAACTTGGTACACATTTTACTAATGAATAATAACCTAACGAATCAAAAAATTCTCTCAAAGATGGTCTTTGCCATGGAGACTACTGACTACTGAAAAGTAGCACTAGATGCAGAAACTAATCGCTTAAAGCTAGAAGATTTTTGAAATATTGTGGACCGACGGGAGCTAAGCTGAATTTTCATGCTTATATAATTCGCAATCTCAAAATCTAAAAGAGGATATTACATCAAATCATATTTAATTAACATTAAATGTAATAAATAATAAATACAATTCAGGTTACCGATAGAAATCCCAAGCCTCAATACAAGATTGATAAGAAATGGGAATTAAATCTTGTACAAAAAACATAAAATGATTTGAAACTATTTTCAGTACTGGTTTAATCAAATTTAGTTTGGCAAAGAATTTTATTAACTTTTTGAGGTTTTTCGTTATATTGCGTGTCACTAAATCCAGCGGGAAAATATTTATATTTCCAGTTTTATTTAAATTAAAATTAAATCACACTAAAACTAAACTAACCAAAGCAATAAAGTTCTGTATTAAACTAATAAAAATAGAGAATTTAAGAACGACATGATGAAGATTTGCTTAAATATGTATAGAAATATAGAGCAGGTTTGGAAAAATACGATGTTTTGTTGTTTTGGTTAATATTGGTATGTATTATGAAAGTGTTAAGTCGTTATTGTCTAACATATCGTCTCCTCAGGGCAACAACAGTAAAACAAGTTGAGAATTTTTATATTTGGGATTTGGGAAATCTCCATCTCCAATTTTTACTTCGAAATTATATAAAAAAATCAGTTTAACATATTAATGATTAAAATATGAGTAGTATGAGTGTTGTAAAAATCTAAAATTAATAATGATATTTAATAGAACACCGCGATAATAGTCATATTCTACTGTATCACTAGCAACATTTATGCCACACTTTGATAAACGTATTTTATTATTTCAGTAACTTCTTGTATCCATCAAAGTATTTGTTTATACTTAGAGCCGCCGATACTGGAAGAAAATAAGCTTTTTAATGGATGGTAATTTAATTAAAACAAAACTGGGAAAAATGACATTAATCCATAAAAAATTATGTTGAAATATTAGAGAAGAAAATTGTGAATGGTACCTACTAACGTACTATAAACTACCTAGTATACCAAATAATAAAATGGCTTGTGTAGATACATGCATATCGTTAAATGGAAATCCAGCAATTGACAGCTAATTCTTAATGACTGTAACTAATTAAAACTGATAGTTGTTTGCGTTTTTTGTTTTATGTTTTCTTATGTGCGTTTTCAAAATAAAATCTGGACTTAAATTGACTATTATTTTAAGTGAGTTTAAGTTTTTTTTAACGGACAGTACCTCAGACATTTTTAGCTTGAAATCCGCCCAGCAACACCCAAACTATGGGACATGTATGTATAAGTATATCAATCCCAGTATATTTCGCACAAATTTAAAATTGACGACTTTTTGACAAGTCTAATATTTCCAGCGGAATTATAAATTTAATAACCGAGATATTGATATTGTAAGTTATATAAATTTTTTATCGATCACGATGCAATGACCTTTAAACTTTATATTTGATTCGTTTCATTCATTTATCTACTACCATCGTTTGATCGAATTTTCGTCGGGCCAACGAAACGTTTTATGCCCGTAACGATATCCGAAGAGAATTTTACATTCCGCTATCATTCTGTTCGTGTTCCAAAGTTGGAAGTCGCCGCTCGGCAAGTGAAGCGGCTGATCTGATCAAGACGATATTAAAAGTTTTAACTAGTTAAACTGTCTTCCAGCCGTGGCAGTTTCCTAACGGTGTAATTAGAGTGTAGTCAAGTCATGTCCACAGTTCGTAAATTATAAAGGTTTCGCCTTATATACGAGCGCCATGTCTGGCATTATTACGTCGTTCGTAAAAGCAATGATTCTGGCCTATTGTGAGCAAAATGTTCAATACGGTCTCCCCATGTTGGGTGGAAATGTATTGTTCCTTGCGCGTTATTCAATGCAAAAAGTTTTCGGGTTAAAATTGGATTAGTCGGTTGTTTCGTCTGAAATGGGGCTCGGCATAATAAATATACCTTTTACACGTCGATGGAAAAATCTTTCCGATATACAGGGTGTTTCCTTAAACTCGATTTGGCGCGTATAACGATCCACTATTCGATCTGGAAACCCATAGGAGATACGAAAAAAACTTTCGTGGGCTCTCCTGAAGATTTAAGATATTACAGTTTTTTTAATACAATGTTTCCGAAAAGTGTCCCCTCCGACAGCAACGTTGTTATTTTAAATGGAGCACCCTGTATATAGTGACATTATTGGAATCCTTGGTTGAAATAAAGGGCACATAAAAAAGCCTATTCAAATTTTGCATAGTTTATGCCGAAATTGATATTATGTGTTTTTTTTTCATATTTTGACTGCCCCATATTAAATTGTGTTGTGGCGCTAGATGATGCACTACTTAATCAGTTTTAATAGGTGGTTCCGTTTTTTTTCAAATGGAAACCTCTATATTTGTATTCAGATATCAATTCTAGTATAAAAAATAAATATTCGAGGTTTAAATTCGAGGTATAAATTCTTGTTGGACTTAAAGCTTGTTTGCAATATTACGTATTTTTCAAATAGCAAAGACATGATTCTACTTCTTTTAAAGATATAAGACTTCATCGACCATTCAAATTTCTTACCTTGGTTAGTTAGCCTATAAACTTTATTTATTTATTTTTGTTATTTGGTATTTTCAATCAAGCTAAATAATTGACCATTAAATGTTTCTTCAAATATGAATTCTGAGGTTTTGTTAAATCTGTATTGTTAGCAATAGGTTTTATTCGTATATCTGGAGTATTATATCTTTAACGGAAGTCGCATCGTGCCTTTGCTATTTAAATATACCTAATATTGCCAACAAGTGACCTAATTGGGTAGCTTTAAATTCAACAAGCATTTATACGGGTTTATTTAAACCTCGAATATCTCAAAAGTAATTAAAATTTAAATATAAGGTAAATTACAAAATTACATTGTTTTTTGTCCTAGAATTGATACCTGGTTGTGTTTCATTTCATTCGCCAAAACGGCACCATCTAAAGGCTGAGGCGCATCTGTCAAACTCATATCTGAGTAAAAATACACGGTGTTCCTCGCGGGCGTCCAAACACCTCTAGAGGGCGTCCAGAATGCCGCCCCTCCTAAACTGTAATAGAAATTTATTTATTTTTTTCACTAGGAGGTCTTGCTCGTCATTGCCCTAATGTGAGTTGCACTTGTTGTAGCTATGAATCCTTGATGTCTATATTAGGACCTTCTGTGGTAGAAAACGAAAAACTGCAGCCGTGGTTGGCCAATTTCTTCAAGTTCAAACTTTGGGGATCGCCATTTAGCATTAGTACAGGCCAGAAATCAACTCCAAGAAGTCCGAGGTAGGAATGTTGGTGTGCGAACAGTTCTTCGAAGATTAGAATTCGGTTTACAAGCTTGCAGGCTACATAGTAACTAGACCGAAATGGCTTCGACGTCACCGAATGGCCGAGCTCACAGCAATGGCGAACGTTCTTTTACCGACGAATCCAGATTTTGCTTACATTTTCCAGATGAACGGAAAAGTGCGCGTCTAGTCCCAGTTTGTGTCATGGGGAGGGTTAGTAATAGTGTGGGGATGACTAACTCGAGCGCCAGTCACGATCACTATAATTGTAATTAAGTTTGTTATAAAATAAGTTAGTTAAGTTGAAGTTAAATTGGTTTGTTAACAATAAATAAATTTGTTTGTTGATTTGGCTTTTAAAAATGAACCGATGAACATAAATGACTAAAACAAAAGATAAACTTTAGAAAATAACAAAAAATTTGGTTCTACAGGGAGTTTCAAAATTATTTTATTTAATTTTTTATTATTTGAAATTAAGGTCATGGAGCAACCATTCAATCAACCCTAACCCTAAAGTTTTCAAAAAAAAATTCTGAAAATCAGCATAAAAATAAAAAAGTTGTGATTCCTCAAAATAAACCAAAAATTTGCCTGGGCCGTTTTTTGGCACCTAAATAAAGATCGAATAGGTACAATTTCTCTTAAAAGCTCATTTACTCTTATGTGACTGTAACCTTTTCCTAGAGCTTTCGACTGTTTAGCACACGTCATTCTTCTAAATAAAATAAAGTATGGAGTCGGAGGACCACCATTGTTGAACTAAAGCAGTTGCTCTTAAAAATCAATAAACTTTTTTTTCTGAAAAACTCGGTGTGCTGCAGGGTAGCAATTCTCAGGCCCTTGCTCTTTATTATTTATTTATTATTATTCGTTACGGACATTTTTAACGCAACACAAAATGTAAAAGCCATTCTTGAAAAAAATAAGATATGTAGATCTTGTTATATATTGAAAACCCATATGTCATTGTTATGTAATTTTTTGTATTTAGAACGATTTAAAAATATATTCTGGCACCACTTGTCAAACTTAAAAAGAGTATTTCCATATAAAAAAGCAATAAGGTTTCTTCTAAATGTAGATTATACTCAAAGTTATCGAGATGACAGATGTCATCAATCACTGCACTGTTGTGGTGTTTTATAACATACTCTCTCTCTCTCTCTCTCTCTCTCTCTCTCTCTCTCTTTCTCTCTATCTTGACGACGACCGTTGCGTTTTTGCTATTTTGTAATCTACATACATATTAAATTTTAATACAATCTTGAATGTTTTAGTATATTAGACACATGGAATAATGATTGGTACAGAAATAGATGACACAATAATTGATTGAGGAGGTTTTCCGATTTCCGAATATATGATTATATGCTCAAAGTTATTTTCATTATTAAATTTAAACTCAAATAGTCGACACGTGGAACAATAATTGATGCACACATAGGTGACATAATTATTAATGCACGGGGTTGTCAGATTTCCAATACGTAATAATACGTTGAAAGTTATTTTAAGGTATGAATAGGGTCTGCACTTGGAATTGATTGTTCGTTTGCTCAGTTTTGTCATGGAATATCTTGTTTGTTTCTCAAAATAGCATTGAACGGTGTATAGAGCACTGAAAACGTCTCGAACGCTTCACCTGTTTAAAACAGATTTCCCTTTTCATGTTTGATTTATTTATTTTTTTATTTTTAGTACTTATATAAATAGAAATCCAAATTTTTAAATATTTCAACACCAAAATGACGTAATTTCATATTTTATTTATTTGTAATTTGATTGAATTTGTTAATTTTCTTCTTCAAAATTCAAAACAAGTAAATGATGCTAAGCTATTAAGAGATATTTCCAAATTTAAAATTAAAGATAATGAAATGCTCCAGGCCTAATTTTAAATAATGATTCCCTTTTTCGTGGTAGTTGAATAAGCATTTATTCTCACATACAGGGGAAATACAAAACAGCTCTTATACAAGGAAATACTTCATTTCTGCAATTCAGATACATAGTTCGCCAACGGTAAGTCTTTTTTTTTAATGTAAAACGAGTGTGTTCTTCCTCTGATGGTAGTCTTTTCATCCTCATTCATCACAGTTTCTTATCTCTCTGTACTTTTCTTTGGTATTTTATTGACTGTCCAACTCCAGTCACGTTCGAATAAATTTTAACTCCGAATGCTGAGTTTTGATTGCAAAGAGCATTGAACACATTGAAAATAAGAATTTTATCATTTTTAAAAATGGTAATTTTGTTCACTATGGCACCACTTGGGACACTTCACGATCATCATACGCACCATCACATCTCCATATGATGCCTCTGAAATACAGTTCAATAATGATTTATAACTCTCTCGCATTAAAATGCAGAGCATAGTTACATTTATATCAATACCGCCTAACTAAAGTATTTCAATTGTTCGAGCAATGAATTAAAAATTTATTGTTGTAAGAGAGTAATAGTAATTGTTTAATTCGTAATTTTAATTTCTTATTCTAAGTCAACAAGTCCTTGGAGGCTTCGTCAAAAACGAAAAGCACGATTAATTTTGAATTGAATACATCTAGGGATGTATTTTGGGTGCAGTAATTATTATTACATTGTGCTTCGTTTATAAAAACTTATACAATTAATTAAATTAATTAACTAATTTTAATTAAACTAATTTACACTTATTCTAAACTGAGATTTTTTTAAAAAATTTTAGTAGAGCAACTGAAGCAATTTTTGTAGCCCCATATGCGACGTTTCCTTCGTATACGTAATCGCATGTGGATGTTCCAGACATTCAGTTGCCATATTGAATGTGCCGGCAGTTTACAATTTATCCGCCTTCCGTTTAAAACGCACAGCTGCAAATATCGGACACGTCTGTGATGATCAACCACCATCCATGCGGGTGCCGAGAGTTTCAAAGAGAATCGAAATGTTTGATATATCGCTCGAGCAAACTTTGCTTTACTTGGTTCGGATAATATTGTAATCCTCCGAGATCTTGTTGTATACAAAAGAAAATAGCAGACTTCTTCGCTCCCGACATAGATACGAGCCGTATAATAAACGCCAACAGAGTTTAAAGGAAGATAAAGTTGATGATTTATCGGGCCATTACCGATGCGTCACCGTCGTACCATGAGCCTTTTTTAATTTCAACTTACCACAGAAAAGTTTTGGAGTGGAATTAGTGTTCTTATGAGATGGAGGCGATTTTTTCGCCGTCTAAACCTTTAAAATATGCAAATGTCTGTTCTTGCGGAAGTTATGATTTACTAACGACGCAAAAAAAAATTCCGAGCACGGGTAAGCCTATATTTTAATGACAGGCATTATAAGACCTGAAGAGTGGAGATATTTACTATTTACAAATATTCTGGATTCGTCATCGGATGTTAATGAATCTAACTATCTGACGTTTCGCAAATCACCCTGTTGGCTTCTTCAGGGTTTCCCTGATGAAGCAACAGTATTCCACAAAGCTAAATTCTTATTTAAAAAAAATAAAAAAACTAACAATTAGTGCGCTGACAAATCCTGTTGCTTTAGGGCGTTAGCTTTATTAACGACTTTGACCGTATAAGCAATCGTTCATCTAGCATTATTTGGTGTTTCAAAAGCTCAGTAATGTTCGTTTTTTTTTATCGCTCCAATGCCAAAGATTTTGGGACAAGTGGTAAATCTGGTCTTTACGTTATATTTTTTAAGAACTTTTGATATGTGGTCAGTGATGTTTGTTTTTAAATCTAATATTATGTTCATACAAATAATTGCCTAGTCTCCTGTACCTGAATTGTTATCCAATGACCTAATGTAATGTACTAAATGTCGATCTAAAAATCGGTGAAATATTTTACCCGTTCTGTTTCTAAATTTACATAAAATATTATTTCACGTAACATTATTGCTGCGCCACCACATTTACTGCAAATCGAGTGGAACAGGCTGCTTTTCTAGCCACAATATAAACCACTTCAACTCGAAAGAGATTTCAGAGAACGCTTCATCAAACAACAGAGCGGGGACCCTGGTTTTCTGTACAGCAAAGGACGCCTAAATTTCGATTAGTTTGGATAGTTAAATTGGGTCTTAGGAAAATCAATCGACTATGTTATTTAGATCACATACTGAGTTTAAGATAGGGCGAGTGTATATTACACAATGTGACCTATATAAATTGGATTTATTGCTCCAATTAAACACTGTAATCATTGAAATGTAGGAATTTATGTTTTCTGTTTAAACTGCTTTATATATTTTTAAAAATTAAAAAAAGTGGGATCTGATATAAATATAATAATAATAATAGTAATAAATTGTTTTTACCGCAATATAACGGTGGATTTGCATATTAAATTTAAATTTGAAATTTTGATAAACAAAAAAATAATACATCATAATAACATTTGTGATAGAATTCATAACACTTACTTAAGCTTGAGTTGTGGAATTCGTCTGCAAACTTAAGTGTTATTTATTTTACAAATAACCTAGACTAAATGAAACATATAATTCTAGCCTACAAAAACAAACTGACCAAAAGACGGGAAGAGGAACCAAAATAATCGATTGCATTAATAGCTTTAAACTTAGTCAATGACTGTGGGACACTTTAGATGTTATAATATTTTTCGTTTCAGTAGGAATTATTTTATATTATTTATTTCCAACATCCTATCCTTTTCTTTGCAAATGGATTTCTTTCGTTTTTTTCTCTAGGAAAGTGATCATGAAATATGCAGTTCTTGAATCATAGTTACTTTATAATATAGTTGTAAAATAGTTAGTACCCAGCTACACTTAAAAAGCTGATTTGAATAACCGCTAATGGTTGGTTTGGGATCACTTTTATATGCACCGTCCCAGCCGATAATGCCGTTTTTTAAAAGTGACTAAAGCAACGCAAAGGAAAGATTTTTTGTTATTGATTAATTTGTCTTGTTTGCTTAAAAATATATGTATCTAAAAAATGTGTCGAATACAATATTTAAAAGTTAAGTGAAATATGACAGACGTACTGCTTCTGTCAAATACTTAAGTTCTTTTTATTTAACAGTGCTGTCAAAGTAACGATAAAAACAAAATGTATAACCTATCATTCCGTTTTAGGAAACAATATCACCTTAGTTTGGATCCCAAATAAATAAAGGATAAAAAGACTAACTTCTTCCTCTCAAAATTGATTTCTGGATTTCTGGAACTCAAGACCTAGACTTCAGATGTGCGCGATGCAACGGATACTTGAAGACTCCAGGAGGACGGAAATCAAGAGACGACGTCAATCTTAGTACTTTGTGTGGAAAACTGATTTATTGTTATTTAAAATTTATGTCTAATAAATTTAAATTAATTTAGGCTTTAGATTAGACATGAATTTAAATAAATTTAAATTTATGTCTAATAAAATTGCCCTTTTTTAAGAAAAATTTCCATGGGAATGCTATTTCGAGATCAGTTGGAAGGATGCCACCTAAGCGAAATTTTAAAAAATAATGCTATTTGTCCTTTCGCGGGAAACGTGTTAGGTATGTGCTCGTTTGCTCGTTGGAAACGTACCGGCATTAAATAACGGGAAACAAACGCCACGCAATTTTTGCCAAGACTGTATATCCCTGTGAGGATATTATGGCGTCGCGTCACGAAATTTCAGGGCTTTCAGCTGCACAAAGTCGGCTAGAACTTTTTAGAGCCATTTGCCATAATGTGTAGAAGTTTCTCGATGTGATGCAACAGAATGAAGTTTTCTAAGAATGCAACGGACCGACCAAAATTTACAAAATTTTTTAATGCGTTAGAACGCTACACAAATGCTCGTCGAGCCTCAAAGGTCATCAACTATCTGTACTACATAAGCTAGTGCGACAACTAAGATGTAAAAGAAGAAGTAAGTTAAAAAGAATGTTAAGAGTTTTCTATAAAGCAGGGTTCTGGAACACCAATAGGGAAGATTAAATAATGGTTAAATCCTGGTTTAATTAAAAATTAACATTTAATATGGTATTAAAGGATATACACCTTAGAATCGATGAACGGCAAGTAACAAGTTTTAGCGGCAGATTAAGAAGTTATATAATAGAGATTCTAGGGAAAAAATCGTTTTGTAACAAGCGTATCAGCTAAAAATCATGCAATTATTAGAATTTAGTTCCAATTTAATCCTTATTTTGTACATTTTTAAAGAAAAAAACACGACAACTTGTGGAAGAGTAAAGGATAAAAGAAGAGAGTTTTACATAACACTTGTAGATTTGATTTTATTATTATTATTTAATTTAAGTTTTTATTAAATAGCCCAATTTAATCTAGAGAAAATTCGATTCCTTTTTGTTAAGACAATGTAAAAAATAAAAGTTTTCTTCATGTCTGCAATAACTATTAGTTTTCATAGAGAGTGTTTGTGTATATTTTGTACCATACCTACAGCCCATTTTGTGGGATATAAAAAATGTCGGTAGATTAATGAAGTGTTTGCAATTATAAAATTAAATAAATAAATTTTATTTATTTGTTATTTATTACATTACAGCTTTTATTATTCTAAATAATTATAGAAAAGTTTATTTTTCCGGCAATTTTTTAAAATAAAACTCGTATCCATGTCAAATTAAATTTACAAATAAACGATAAATAACAGATCAGAATGGCTAAATAGTCTCTATTTAAGTTGTTGTAATTTAACCTTAAATTTAAACGTGAATATTTGCAAAACGGCTAAAGAAAATGTAGGCAAACTTTATATTTTTGGAATTAGGAAAAAAGGCCGTTTATATCATGTGCAAACTAAAATTTAAGCCTTCGATTGTTTTAGTGAAAGTTGAAAACGGGTTTTTTCAATAAAAAAAAAAATGCAGCTCAATGCTCGTATACATAGTCAGATGAAAATACCGCATCAAAATATTTTTAAATTAAAATAAATCAAATTTAAACCCACTGTGCTAGGTGCAATGCTGCTCTTTACTCTAAAATACCCAATTATGCACTGGTCATGATGAATATACTATTAATTTTAATTCTTTTACATGAATCTGCATATTTGCCTAATGTCTAGATAATGGCGCCAGAGTTGGAAATTGCGATACGGAAATTCAACGTTTATAAAAGCCCCTGACATTTCTGCGGCGAGTTCGGAATTCCGATCTAGAATGCTGGGAATACGTGGCAAGATTTCCCGGAACTGTTATTTTCATATATAGTACATAGGTGTTTAGTTGATTCGTTAGCAAATATGAGTCACGCGTAACGGAAAACTGGCACTTCCATTCCATGGCATTCCACCGAAAATCAAACGGAATTTTCGGTATATATCTATTCCGCAGCGATTCGAATTATTCGCAACGTACGGGGAAATTTCTTTTATTGGAATATATTTTTTAACATGTCGCTTAAAAATCGCTTTAAATTTTTTATAGTAAAATAATATTAATTATTCAAAATTGCAAAATTGAAGTATTGGTGAAATTTTCTTTTTTTTATAGGGTCTTCCTGTAGGTTTTCAAATTTTATCATACATTATCTAGGAGGCCGTTGGAGCTCTTAATCGACAGGCATGGCATTATTGTCAAGATAATGTACTCATTAGAACAAATAATATTGTCGATATTTATTTGTTTATTTTTACACTGGAAAATTATATAAAAGCACGCCTGTATAAAACTCTTTAATGATCATGCCAATAGCATGCATTAATTTATGACCCGCAGCAATTAAAAGAACACGAAAAAAACTGAACTATTTTTGATAAACTTCGCTTTTCCCGTTTAATTAAGTTAATTTATGACAAAAGTCAAATGAGGAAATTAATTTTTCCTACTAAACTTCTTTAATATCTCATTCGGGAATGAAAACGCTGTTAGCAAATGCTTGCTTAAATCATACTTTAAATATTTTAAGCTACTGTTTAATTTCCTCCATAAAACCATTTCCACTATCACGCTTTAAATAATTACCCCAGTGGTGGGTAATTACGGTGGC